TTTGACACTGCTGTTTTCCAATATTTACACAGTTATCCATCCTTCTTCTGCATTTCTGAATTGTTTTTGGCTTCAGAAATATTTTCTTGTGGCAAAAGGTCCTCCAGGGCAATTTCACTGCATATAATAGGGTTTCATTTGCATTTTTTTGGAATTGTATGCCCTTTAATTTTATTAAAGGTTGCTTTTTTCCAGTGCCATCAGGCAGGTAGAAGAGCTGCTCTTTCCTCTGGAGCAGTTGTTATTCCCCAGACTTTCCCAAGGCAGGATGCACACGCACGCATACACAGACACACAGATACACACACACACAGACACACGCAGATACACTCACCACCAGGCCGCCCTATGCCTGCAGAAGGGGAGGGCAGCACCAGAGGACGGCCCATAAGGGGACACAGAATCACTCTTTGTAAACCTGATCATTGATTTGAGAGCAAACAGGCTGCTGCTGAAAGAAAAAATGGAAAAGGTCATCCTGAGGCATTCAGCAATGAGCTATGCAAGGCACAGCCTCAAATCACAGGAAGCCCTGATAGCCCATGAAATAATAAATATTTTTCTATAAATATCAGCGTTTTTATTGCCTCTTTCATCCAGAAAGAACCCTAGCTGGCTTTTATGCACTGCATACTCAATTTGGTAATTGCGTCTCCTCACCACTGAAACACAAGATATTCCCAAAGATTCAGCAGTAGCAGAGGGTTAATTGCTGGGACAAGCAGCTCCAACAGGGGAGGACTGTCCTGCTCCATCCTGCCTCTCTGGCTCCCACACCACTGGCCTCGGTAAGAGAAAGCAGCATCCTAAAGGAGGGCTGCAGGAGAAAACACCTCCAAGCCTCAAAAAGGGACAAATACCCATACAAATACAATGTATACAGCTTCTTTAGTCTGTTTGCTCATGTGTATATTTAGCTGTGAGTCAAGAAGGGAGGACGTGGAAAGCTTTAGAAAGATCGGTCTAGAAAAAGGTACAGACCAGAAAAGGAGTGAGGAAGCTGGATGCTGCTGCTTTCCTTTAACCACCAAAGACCCCAAAACCCTCTGGCAGAAGGAGAGCCAGAAACCAGCTCTGTCCCAGCCCAGTTTGTTTTCCCAGAGAGCTGAAACATGGAAAGTGTGTCCCCTCTGCTCTCTCCCATACAATAGACCTCCCTGAAACCCTGACCTCACCACAAAGCCTGTAAGTACAAATATTTTTCTTCAAGCTTTTCAGAGAGAGGAAAGAGCTGCCAGCCTTCAGGAGGACACCCAGCTTTATCCAAGGCTGTGACCTTAAGTTGTTTTATCTAAGCAAATGCAAACTTATTTAAATGTTCTTAAATTAAATGGGAACAGGCATAGCCTAATCTCCTGTAAACTATTTTTACATTGAAATCATATCAGCTGGGCAGCCTTTTGAACCACTCTGAACCTGGAGTATGGGTGCATGACTGAGAGGAGGATGTTTGTCATCACTGCATGAGGCACTGCTGGGAGCTGACCAAAAGCATCGCTCCTTCAGCTGCCGGCCAGCAGCCAGCAATGACATCCTGGTGTACACACGCTCCCTGGCCTCCCTCAGGGCATGGCTGGCTGGATTTGCTGTAACCAGTACATTCAGATGAGTAGCTTTACCAGGGAGCAGGGCACTTGGGCAGGCTTTCTGCTCACTGAGCAGGCAGGGAGGAGAGAGCAGTAGCAATCAGCAGTGTGTTTATCCTCTCTGTGGCTTGCAGAGGATGCATGTGTGTGTCTAAGGTTTGTAGGTTAAACACCTGGTTTGAGCCAGCCCCTCTCACCCCACAAGAGAGGCAACCATGCCAAGCCACCCTCACTGCTGCTTTTAACTGGAACTAGAGCTGTGCTTGGCCACAGCCCTAGCACTGAACCGCTCAGAGAGGAGGAACAAGCAACTAACACATCCAGCAGCACATGCCTGAAGTGAAGGTGCAACTTTCTGTGTAGGCAGACACTGGCAGGAAGGGTACAGGAGCTGTGCTGCAAAGGTAGGGCCCAGGACTGGAACCCAAGGCAGGGAACCCTCCTGCTGTCCTCTGAGATCCATCTGGAGTGCTGCAGGTGGATTTCCGCAGCAGTTCTCTGTGTGTGGAATGCAGCAGCAGTGAGACTTGGTGATTCTGCCACGCAGGTGCTCTCTGCTGGGCAGCACTGACCAGACCCAGCCTCATGGTGCCCCTGTTCATATTTGGCCAAGGCTCCAGGGCCACTCTGAAGTGCAGCTCCTTTAACCTGTCAAACTGGCTTGGGGTGCTGCCAGCCAGCTGGGGATCACCTTCACTGGGAGCTGGATTCTGCCTGGCCAATGTGCATCTATTGTGCTCTGCTTGAATCCCAAATTTTTTCTCCAGAGTTGAAATTTCTTTGTGAGCATAATCTGCAGTCCAAACAAAAGGAAAAAATCTCTGTTTGGTCTGAAGCACAGAACTTGGCATGGCTTGCGGGGGAAAATGCCAAGTACGCAAGGGCTGTTTGCTCTCCTTGCAATAGTCACAACTGCACCTTAGCTCTGTTAAGGCATATCTGGCTGTCATCTCTGTATCCTGTGATTTACACAGCTTTCTCCCAGTGCTTTATGTGGTTTTGCACTGCGGAAAGAACAAAAGTGCATCTTTCTGCTCCTCTGAGAGCCAGCTCTGTGGGAACCTTCCAAGGGACCTCGCAGAGCAAGGGGACCTCCTCCAGAGCCTTCATGGCCCTCCACAGAGAAAGCTCTGCATGGCAGCAACCGTGGCAGACAGTGGCAGAGGTGCCACAAAACAAACCCTGTAATGATCATCAGCATGCTACCTATGTCTGGTCTTTAGCAGGTTTTTTTTTTTTTTTTTTTTTTTTTTTTTTTTTTTTTTTTTTTTTTTTTTTTTTTTTTTTTTTTTTTTTTTTTTTTTTTTTTTTTTTTTATGTTATTTTTTTTTTTTGTGCAGAAGAGTCCTGTAGAAGATAGAGTGTTTCTTTCAGAAGAGTAACAGTTCTTCTGTTTCTTCCAGCAGACGGAGCCGTTCAAAACCTGTTCCACCCACACACCAGTGTGTTGGTGGGAGAGAAGAGGGAATTCTCCTGTCTTATGCTCCCCAGAAATGCACATGCTTCAGGAGCTAGTACTCACTGCACTAGTAAGGCATTCCCTAACTTACCTAGTGATTCTGAGTGGAAAATTTATTCCTGAGCTTCACAGGCTTCCCAGATAGTCCCAGTCTCCATTCTCAAGACAGTGAGCTCTCACCTGGTATTTACAAGCAGCTCTGCAATGGGACCAGAGGAGGCTTACGATGGAGGCATGAGTAATGATTTTGCAGTGACTGTCAGGGTCACATTTTCAAGAAGTTATAGACTTCAAAGGGACATTTAAATTTAAAGGGAGTATTTAGGGAGCATTGTCACAGTGCTTTGTCATGTCAGCAACAGGGCCTTTCACCTCCAGGCCCCTCTCACCCCACAGTGGATTGATTGCTTTCCCATGGTATCAATCAGTGACAGCAGTGGGACAATCAGGATCTCTTTTCTCAGCTGAAGTGACTTGCTACAGTAGTGTTTGACAATGCTACAGGTTTCAGAAATGTTTATCATGGGATAAAACCTGCCTTGCCAAACCAAACCGAAACGCTTCTTTCATAGTTATATCTTAGGCCAGTTCTCAACTCCATTTACTGTCTGGGTGGGAGTTGGCTCTGCCTATCCCAGGCCAACAGAGACAGCAGCGTTGTTAAAGTTGTGTGTAGGAGCATAAGCAGTAAATGTGTAAGAGTAGAGTTGAAAACCAACATCCTGGTCAAGTTCAGAACTGGCAGAAACCCTTTCAGGAGAGGGTGGGTGCTGCCCACAGAATGAGACTGTCTTTATTGAGAAAGGTTGGTAACTGACCAAAACTACTGATAGTGATGTTTACTTTCATTTCAGTCTGTGTCCAGCACACCATGGCAGCTCTTGAGGAACAGTCAGACCTTGGGAACAGAGGTATTCATTCTGTCCTATTCATCTCAACTGAAGGTGGCTTTTCAGCCAAAAAGGTAGATCCCTCATGAAACTCCAGGGTCCCTCCTGGATAATGGTGTGTGGGCCCTGCAGGAGAAGCCGTTCCGTTATGCGTGCACAACACTCTGGGTTCAGCACTGCCTCTAAGTGTTTGTGCCAGTGTTCCAGTAGCAATTACGACATTACCAGAAAGGAGGGAAGAATGGTTCTGGCTGGCTCAGGTTTCTTGAGCACAGCAGCCCCAGCAGAGGAGCACTGGAGTGGCTGTGCATGGGCTGTCCTCTGCCCGAGCAGGTGGCACAGCTCCCCAGAGGTGTGTGAGCCAGGGTGCCAGGGTGCCCAGCAGAGTGATAGGAAGCAAGAGGACTCATACAGGACTGGACCAAAGGGCAGAAGGGGCAGGTGGCTACTCACCCGGCAGAAAGTTCAGGGCAGAGTGTGAGAAAGGGGGATAAATCCCCAGCCACCCACAATGAGAAACCTCCTGGTTGTCTGAAAGGCACAGGGGTGGCAGCGGGGGCTGCCTCCCGCCGTCCCCGGGATCACTGGTGAGGGGTCAGCGGTGTGCTGGGGCTTTTCTGGTGTCCAACGCTGCCTAGGCGGTACAAGCCGTAGCCCAGGCGATGATGCCGAGAGGTCCCGAGCGCCCCAGGCGGGAGACGTGATGGGTGCGATGGAACGACGCCCAGCGAAGACGATGCCCAGCCAGCCCCCTCCCCGCCCAGGGACCTGCAGACATCTGGCAGCGGGCACTCTGCCGGCGTCGTGCACGCTCCGTGCGCCGGCCGAGGAAGCGCCAAGCCCCGCCAACCCCGCCGTCGCCTTGCGGCCCCCGCCCCGTGCCGGCCGCGGTGGGCGGGCGGAGGCGGCGCTGCGGCGCCCGGGGGGGCTCGGCGCGGCGGGGGGAGCGGTCGGAGCGGAGCGGAGCAGCCGCGATGGGCGCCCCAGGCACGGCGGCGGAGCGGCGGCGGCAGGGGCGGCTGCTGCGAGGGCAGCGCTGCGCGCTGTGCGCGCTGTGCGCGCTGGCCCTGCTGCTGGCCAGCTGCGCGGCCGGGCGCGGCGGTGAGTGCGGGGCCGCGGCGGGGGGCAGCGGCCGGGCCGGCGGAGCCCGGCTGCGAAGGGCGGCGCCGCGGGGGCTGCGGCGGCCGGGGCTCCCTCGCGGGTTCCGCGCCGGGGCCCTCCCGAGCCGGGGCGTTGCGCGCCGGAGGCGGCCGCGGGAGCGGCGCGAAACTTGGCGGAGCTCGGCGTGCGTTGGGGCGGAGGGGGCCCGTCCCCCGCGGGGGTCCCGGCGTGCCCGGAGCCCTTCTGCGGAGCCGTGGCGCTGCGATGGTGCCCTCCGCCCGGGGGTCCCCTGCCCGCCGCGCTTCAGCTGCGCGGGGGGCGGTCGGAAGCGATTTGCGTCGTTGCTTTGCGGAGCCGTGAATGTAAGCAGAATTTAGGCAAGGCTTATTTGCCTTTAAGAAAAGAAGAGCGTACGTCTCCGTGACTCGAATTTGCTTTTTAAATAAACAGACGTGTCTGAAGGGTTTCACGGTGTCCAGCATGGTGTAAGGAATGCTCTTATGTTCAGAGAAGAGTACAAACACCAGTACGGCTTGAACGCAGTGTTTCTTGTGGAGTATAACTATGTTGGGATGTGTTTTTAAGATTCGGGGCTTTTATGCCCTCAATTTAATCGAATTGTCTTTTTTTTTTTTTTTTTTTTTTTTTTTATTTTTTTTTTTTTTTTTTTTTTTTTTTTTTTTTTTTTTTTTTTTACACATGTCTTCTAAAACTTATGCTTTTTCTTGCAAATGTGGATTGCTTCCAAGAAATAAAGCCAGGAAAAACATGAACATCGTTGTAAGTAAACAGGACTTTATGTATGTACTGAGGTATATTCAAGTCTGCCAGCACAGAAGATGCAGATGTGTGACACCGGTATCCATCCTTCCTTTACCTAAACTTCAAAGGCTGCCGGTGAGAAGGGCTGTGGTGCTGGGGCCAGACCAGTGCTCTCTTCCCCATTCCTGTCATTGGGAAGATGATCTGTGTCCAGCTGAGCAGACTGGCTGCATGCTGCTGCCTTTACCACACAGAATATTCATAGATGATGTGGCTAGGGTGATTTTCACACTTATTTAAAAAGTGCACAGAGTGCACTCCTCTCTCTTAAATGCAGTTTTCCTTTCCACCTTATGTTTTGGGGTCCCTGCCTATGCAGAAAGAGCTTCATCTGCTGTAAAGGCTGGTGCCACAGGTGCATTTGTACTCTACCTGAACTGCCAAAGTGTTACCCAGCTGGTGCAGCAGTGTTGTGTCAGGACTCTGGCTGCTTTACTTCAGTTTGGGAGCCTGTCTCATGTTGTGATCAGAGTTTGCTCAGAGTTAATCTGAGAGGTGAGGGATGGCATTTTCTGCACAGAGACAGGAGCAACAGGGAGGAGAATAATGTCACAGGGGAAATTTTACTGTGGCATCCACTGCATCTGCTGGCATTGCACAGGCCCAAAGTGAGCAGGCTCTCAGGGAAGCCTTGGACACGGCCTGATGCTCTCTAGCATTTGTGTTGTTCTCAGGAGCTGGAAAGGTGTATTTCTGTTTCAGTATTTTTCCTACATAAAAACAGTGTTTAGGATCGACAACATAAACTTTTGTCTAGACGGTGGTGCTTTTGTGTCGACTGGCATCTCTCTCTGCACTGCCCTGGCAGGAGGCTCTGGGGGGGTTTTCACTGTGAGCTGTTTCGAGTGCACGTGGCATATGCAGCTCCCAACATCCTTGATGCCAGAGGGACCAGTGGCAGCGTGTCACAGGCTTCCCTGGGGTGCTGCAATGACTGCTGCTCCTGGAGAGCCTTGGTGTCGAGGCGTGATCCAGCTCAGAAACCTAGACTAGAATCACCTCTTTGCATGATGCATGCTTGAGTGCTGCAGTTTTTATTCATCAGTCCCCTTCCCCTCAGGCACTCTTTCAGCCATGGCCTGCATCTGGAGGAGCCAGACTTTTCGGATCACTGCAGACCTGTATGTGTGTGCAGAGGGTGTTGGGTGCCAGAGCCTCCTTGTGAGGTGTGTGTACTGGCACGTCTCTGCAGGAAACAGGCAAGAGCCCTTCTGGAGAGGCAGGTACCACAGCAGTTTAATTGATAAACCATCTGGAGCATGCAACTCTAGGGGACAGGGCATGAGCTCTGGGTTTCTGCTCTGGTAGATCCCCCTGCTTTTATGAGGGCCTTAATCAAGTCTCTCCATGTCTCGTTTGGCTGAGTCTCAAAAATAAGGCTACTTTGTCAAGTGAGTTTGAGATCTCCTGATGCTAAATTATGTGTAATAACAAAGAGTTAAAATACTATAGTGTTCTGTGAGGCTCATTCCAATGATCTCTGTATTCCACAAGGGTCAAGCTTTTGGAAATAGATATGGTGCTAAGAAGAAATCCAAGTTCATGCTGTTTGTCTGGGCAGTGATCATACAGCTGGGGTGCTCCTTTCTTCGCTTGCTGGCAGTGTAAGTTTGGTTATGCTCTGGCATTGAGGAGGTCACACTGGTAACTGAGAGGTGTAACAGACCAAACACAGCCCTGCAGACCCCAGATCCAGCTGCCAACCTTCAGCTACCCGACTGCCACCCGCACGGAAAGGGTTGAACAAAGTGTAAAGTTTGGTTTATTTTTTTTCCCCCCTTCTTTATCCCCCCATCAGTCTGACTCAAATTCTCTATTCTAAAGAGAGGGAGGAGTGGAACTTCATTATATGAGACTCTCTTCTAAATTGTAATGATTCAGGTTTTTCAAGGCAGGCTTCTGAGTCAGGCCTGTTACCAGTTTGTTGTCATGGACAGCAGAAATAGCAGGGTCATCAGTCAGTGGGATTTTTCTCTTCTTTGTGTCTGTGTCTTTGGCAGGATGGCAGGGAAAAGCTGGGTCTGATTGTGCAGCCCTTACTCATGGGGATGGGCACATCCAAGCACTTGGAGTTGCCTGCGTGATTTAAGTGTGGAAGATTCGGGTTTCTTTCAAGTCTTGTTTTAACTTGATGGGAGTGAAGTATTCAGAATGGTGGAGCAGGGCTTGCCAGATGCATTTTGACTGGCTCTGAGACTTACCCTAAAAGCAAAGCTCAGGCTGTTTTCACAGGACTGGTATTTGCCTGGTCCTTGTGGGCTGTGGTGTGTTGAAAGCATCCATGTCATGAAAACACACTCTTAGAAAGCCTCTGAGCAATCCTGGGTGGTGTGATGAAAAATGGGGAGCAAAGATCTCAGGCATGTCTGCCTTCCACCCCTGTGCTGGTTGGAGGAGCTCTCAAGGCTGGTATGAACCACGTAGGCTGTTTGCTTCTGACCACTTTGTTACAGGCCTTGCCTCAAAGGGGTTTTCCTTACACATCTCCTTACTGCGAAAATAACACAGAAGGACCTTGGTGGGACAGATCCTGGTTCTCTAGCTGGGAGTTAAAGTGAAAACTCCCTGATTTGAGTGTTTTGATTTGTGTGAACCAAGAAACCCAAACTGAGCTTTAGAGGTCATGCAATGAAAGCACAAAAGCAGTTGTTTTCCTCACTTCTTCCGCAGAGTGTAATCCTAGCTTCAGTGTGAGTAATCCTAGCCCAGATGTATTGCTGTAATCATTGGACCCCTGGATATGGGAATTTACACTCACAAACTCGGAGAAGCATCAGGCCAGAGCGTGGTATGTGACCTCTTTGGCAGGGGGCGTGTTTGGCCTTGCAGTAAATTACTTGTTCATTTATTTAGTACTTGTTCAAGGTCCTGCACCCACAGCTGACTGAGACTGAACCCTTGTGTCAAGCAACTTGGAGAGTGGCAGGGATGGGACATGCAGTGCTGCTTGCAGGGGTGAGGGGACCTGATCAGATGCTTGGCTGGCACCATCAGCTTCAGGTGCCAGCAGAGCAGGGCTTGCACACCTGGCTGTGGCTGAACTGCCTTCAGAACTCCCATATCTCAGGGTCTGTGTGCAGTCCACTTCATTGAAGTGTTGTGGGAATACCAGGCCACAATGCCAGGCTGGCTGGCTTGCCAAGGTTGGGTGCCTAGGTGGACTGGCACAGCACCTGGGATGACAGGGTCGTGGTGCTCGGGATGATGATGTGGGCGGGATGCTCGACATACAGGATGCTCCGGAGCTCTGGCTCCAGCGGGGCGTGAGGGCAGAGGGCTGCTGGCTGCCCCAGCTGCTCAACAGCAGAGAAGTGCTAGGCTGGGAGAGGGTGAGTTGCAGAAGGACTGATGTTTCTTTGGTGCCTGTCAAGGTGAGGTAGGTTTGTGCTGCACACCTGCCTGTGCTGATGGAGCTGTGCAGGCTCAGTTCTACCTTGTCCATGCCTTTTGGCCACTCCTGCCCTCATTGGTGCTTCGTGCCTGGGCTCTGGCATGGTGGTGGCCCTTAGCTGAGCCTTTCCAGCAGGCTAACCCAGCAGAAAACTAGCCCAGGATAAATAAAGTAGGTTTATTGCCAAATCAGCACACTGAGATGACTTGGTGAGGGGCATTAACAGGCCATGGTTGAATAGAGAGCCCTTGTTTGGTGGCTGTGGTCAGAACAGCAGAGCTCATGAAGAGGTGGGCATGCTTGGTTGGTTCTGTCCCAGCCCTTTCCTAGTACTTCCTTCCTGCTTCTAATCTACAATAGTCCATAATTAGTCCATAAAAGGCAGGGTGGTCACATTGTCTGTTTCTGGTCAGAGATGCTCAAAAGACTCTGCTGAACCTGTCATAGATTCATGTGGCAGGTATTTGTGCCTGCATCCTCTTGGGAGGATACAGACATTAAAAAAAGTCTGTGCTGATACTGGACAGGGTAATTTAGGAGATCAGCATCCAGCCTTGCAGTTGGAAAACTCCCCTCACCCTGGACATGACCTGCTTCTAGGTGTTAGCCTGTCTCAGGGTACTTTACTCTGTTTTGTCTCTGTTCTTTAAATTGATGACACCTCTCTAGAAGCTAGGAGGATCATTAGGTTTTTTCTGGTTTCTGTTCCTTTGGAGTAGTTTAAGTTACCCCTTCTGGATTTCCTCTTGATGAGCGTAGAAAATTTAGTTTTCATAAAGCCTTCCCT